TGCAGGGGGGCAGAGCAGGGCAGGAGCAGACTGGTCCTATTGAGAACAAATCTTATCCCAACAGGGAGCATGTATAGATGTGTTCCCAGGAACACAGTAAGCTTTCTGCCAATTAATAGCATGTGTAGACATGCCCACTAAGTAGTTCTCAATGACTCTCTGGGCACATCTACACTTAGGTTACTGTGCAGTAACCGAAAACTACTGCACAGTATGGGCATGCGTCTACACATGCGCACCTGTACTGCACAGTAACTATGGTGACTTATGTTGATTGCATGATGCAGGTAGCAAATTTACTCCTGAGCAGTTACTGCACAGTCGAGCATCAGTAGATGCCTTACTGTGCAGTAACTATGTTTGTGTGGACTGACTTGGGAGTAACTTTACTCCCAAGTCAGTGCACCCCCCCACCTCCAACTTTTTCTGCTATGTGTGTCAGAGTATTTTTAAGCCTTTCCAGCAGAGAGAACCCGAGCAGAGTGCAGGGCCCCGGGCAAATCAAATCCTGTGGAGCCCTGCCCCTGCACGCCCTGGATGTGAAGAAGCGGTGGCAGTGGTAGCGGTGGGGCCAGATGCAAAGCCAGCAGCGGCGGCACAGATTCACCATGGCCACTCTGCCCAGCTCCGAGGGGCCCCCCAAAGCGCAGGGCCCGGGGTGGTAGCCCCAATTTTCCCCCTTCTAGGGATGGCCCTGCTTTCCAGAGACATTGGGTGTTGGCTATAGCCAAGACTGGGGACCTTGTGGGGTGTGCCAATGCTCCTGGGAACAAAACTGAAGGTTTCTGGCTGGAGGGTCTTACCCCTCCACTCAGGGTCAGACCAATCTCCATATCTGGGGTCAGGAAGGAATTTTACCCCATGGTCAGATTGGTGGGGACTGTGGAAGGTGGGTTGCCTTCTTCAGTAACAGGGAGAGCTGCCCTCTGCCCAGGACTTTTCGAGCGTATATTGACAACATTTTATAGAGGCAGGATATTGGTTGCCATGGTTCTTCTGCTTTACCTGTGGCAGTCTTTGTTGTGTCACGGTTGATGGTAGTCTTATGTAGAGTTTAAATTATGTTTGTATGCGATGCTTTGGATATGGATGATCCTGGCTCAGGCAGGAGATTGGATTAGATGACCTCTGGAGGTCCCTTCCAGCCCTACTTCTCTATGTCTCTATTACTATGACTCTATCCTTGGAAACTTTCAAAAGCAGATTAGATAGACACTTGGCTGGGATGGTTTAGTCAGGGATGATCCTCCTTTGAGCAGGGGCCTGGACTAATGGACCTTGTGAGGTTCCTTCAAGCCCTACTTTCCTAGGATCGTACGACCAATGTGGCTGGTGATGCAAAGACTCCCATGAGCAATGCAGCTCCCTTAGGGACTTCTCCCAGGATCTTATACCCCACGCAACATACACTGTCTCATTTTCCTAGATAAGGGGATAGCCACTCCAGAGGAAAGTTAGTACACAGCTTGAAATTTTACCCAACTCCACTAGCCAGGTCTAGTAGCAGGACCTGCAATATTAATTCTCACATCACTCTCTGTGATTTTTATGCACTTCCATAGGTTGAAAATATCTATCAAATAACCATGCACATATTGGATCATTTATTTGCTTCATTTTATTTTAACACTGGAATTGCACTCCACAGAAGAAACTCACATTTACTTACTTAGGGTTGTTTGGATTTGTTCTCTCCTTTTCTCTCCTGTTTTTGAGTCAGTCTACATTATACCTTGGTGTCTTTTCTTCCATTTTCACTGCCTGTTTTCAAAGGTTATGTCTCCCTTGTCAGACATTTTTAACGATAATAAGAGAGGATAGTGATTTTTGGTGTATGCTGGCTACTTAAGTACCTGGAATTATGAAGAAATTATCTTTATAGGCAAGCTATTCCATAATTGTCCCTTATGAGATTTCTTGTACTTACCTCTAATAGCATCTGGTGCTGATTATTATTGAAGGCAGGATACCAGATTAGGTGAACCATCAGTCAGATTTAGATAGCAATAACCATATTTAACTATTTTGCAATATAGCTTTTTCCTCATTTTCTCTCTTCCATAGTTTGTTATTTTTCCACTTCACCCCATTCTCAGCATTTTATTACAGTCCTTCCCCTCAGTTCTCTTTTAGCTTTTCATTATTCTTTCTATCTACATTCTTTCCTTCTCTTTCAAACAAGCGTAGACTTCTCTTTTCTCTCTTT